CCAACGTAATACTTAAGCAAGCCCCCATTAATATTTAATTATGTTACATTATTTATCATATATATGCATTTTCTTTTTCTTTTTCTTTAAACACGAACACCTCAATTGAGATCTTTTAAACATTTTCTATTTATCAAAATACATACTTCATAATAAACAAATCTTTTTTTAAAAATAAAACATAATTTTAATCTTTATAAATATCTCACAATATTTTTTGTCTTTAAATTTTTTTTTATTAATATAGCTCTTTAAAAATCTTAATTTTTTAAAAAATCTTAATTATTATTTAATGATTATACAATATATATATATATATATATTATTCAATCCTTTTATAATAAATAGTTATCAAATTTTTAATTATATAAAATAAATATACATTTTTAATGTATTATTTGTTCGAAAGATTATATTCTTATTTGCTTGAAATTTATATTGATGAAAAATTCACTCTTTATTTTTATAAATAAATTATCAATTTAACCAATCTAGAATATAGTAAAAATTATTATATATAATTATTTTTATTAATATTTGATATAATAATTTTTTATAAAAAATATTTTATCAAATGTCATTTTAAAATAATAAATAATATAATTAATTAAATATAAATTTTTAAAGAAGCAATTTATTATAAAAAAATATTATATTATATTTTTTATGATTTTAATGCACTTCTAATGTGACTTTTAATAAATAAAACTAATAATATTTTTTAATCTGTATCTTTAAGGCAATACCTTAATAAAATTCAGCTTACAATGTTAAAAATTATGAAGTATATAATTAATAAATAATTAAAAGATCAAAATTAAACAAAATTTCATGTATAACTCATTTGGATTTTTTATTTTTTTTTCGTTATTGATGTCTTCAAGAACATTCTTAATTTTCAAATAACTTACTTGTGTAGTTCACAACTCCGTATCCACAGTCAGCATACGCGGGATTGACCGACTGAAACAGGTCATCAATTGCCTAAATTATGATATTTGTTTAATTACCGGTAATCTTCACAAACTTCCGCATCAATCCTTTAGATCATCTAAAACCAATACGAATTCAAAATTTAAAAGATAATGGTATTATAATGAAAAATGTTATTCCTTAAGAGTTAGTTAAGTAAAACAAAATAAGACCAATAACCAAAATTAATAATAATATAAAAAAATCTCATGTTCGAAAGGTCACGAGTTTAAATTTTACCTTGTTTTTGTATTTTTAGTCTATTTAATATTTATAATGAAACTTTTAATATTTGAGCATAAAAAAATTCTCTTAGTATTATTTTTGTCTCTCATGTTCACAACAATAACTATTTAAAACTCTATTATTAAGTTCGAAATTAATATTTTGAGTGCAGTTACAAAGTTAACAATATGAGTGTTCGCAAGTTTAAAGAGATTTATTTTAGAAAAACATCTTTAACACCATGTTCACAGATAAAAGTCTGAATTTTAAAACACTAATTTAAAAAACAAAAAACAAAAAACTATTTTTAAAAAAATTAAATATAAATTGTTACTTTTGGCGCTCCCTTTTCTTTATTTACTTTTTAATTAATGTTTAGTATTTTTTTTCCTTCCTTATAAAAGATCTTCCTTTTTTTCAATTCTTTTTTAATTTAGATTATGTATTAATAAAAAAAATATAGTACATTTAGTTATAATGAAGGAAGAATAAAACAAATTTTATCAAATAAATATTTACTTTAATTTATTAAAACTTGTAAAAATATTTTTTTTCTTAAGTATAATTATAATTATAACATGTTACTTGATAATTTAAGAGAATCCTTCTTTTTTTACTTAACTAAACAATAATATTCTTTTTTTTTCTTTTCTTTTATTCATCTTCTTTTATAATGTTTTTTCTTCTCGGTATTTCTTATACCACAAATCACTTTTCTATTGTTAATATTATTATAATTTGATCAAAACATCAATATCATCTTCCTTCTTGTTCCTAAATCTTGCACCACATGTCACTTTATTATCAACGTTATTTTTATTATTTTTCTCATTTTCAATTACCATAAATAATTTTTCCTATCGTAGATGTCATTATCATTTGCCTAAATCAATATCAATTTTCTTCATCCTTTATCCCCAAGTCTTATATCAATACTCACTTTATCATTGTCGACATTATTTATTACTGACTCATTTACTTCCAATTATCATAAATCACTATTTTATTACTATTTGTTTCTGCTAGAGAAATACTAATCTTCAAGTCTCTACTCTGAAACAATGACGTCCTTCTGACTATTGCTGACGTGGAGAAGGTACCTGCAAAAGGCACTCCGATACTGAAGTCAGGATTCGGTTCTGAGTAATAAATGGTATTTAATAATAAAAAGTTTACCTTTTATATGTACTTCCTACCTTCCTTTTATAAGTTTTATTATGGATTAATGGATTTGATGAGTCAGCCTTGATTTTGACCCTTTACTTAAAGTAGATAATGTTCTAATTATTATCCTTAATCGAATTTAATTACTTCTTAATCTTGATACTAAGGTATCTGATCAAGCTGGGCTGAATAGGGAATCGATTTCCTTTTTCTATATGTAGGATCGAGCAGTTCCCTATCCAGTACACTAATATTCTTGTTATTTGGTCAAAATATTATTAACTTTCTCCTTTCTTCATTTTCAAATATTTAATTCAACATAATTATTAGAACATGAACATTGTTGTTGTAATGCTCAAAAAAGATATTATGAAAAATATAAACAAGAAGAAGAGGAATAGACGTTGTTACTTAAAAATTAAATAAAAAAATAAACTATTTTTAAAAATTTTAAAATAATGTTATTTTATGTTCTTCTATTATTATTTAGTATAATAAATTATCACTCTGTTGCTTAAAATAATAATGACTAAATTAATTGACAATTGTTATTTTTATAGATTAACATTTAAAATTTTAATTTTACACAATTGATTTAAATGATATAATACCTTTAAAATGATGAAATTTAATATTTAAGATTATCGTAAATTATCAAATAAAAATTAATATTAATTAAAAATAATAGTAAAATAATTAAGAAATTATATTTAAAAATTATTGTAATAAAAGTGTTTGTCTTTCGTCTTGATAATCACCATTGTTAAAATGGAATAATTTCTACTGTTTAATAACATTAGGTGAGTGTTGTTTTCATGTGAATGTACACTGTTACAACAACAAAAAATCGTCAATTACTAAAGGGACAGTTAATAATCTTTTTTCTTAAACATGTCAATCAAAATATGTTATATATATATATGTTAAAAAAAAGTAAATCTCATTTAATGGTTTTTATATTTTTGAAAAGATTAATTTCTATCTGTAGGTTTGTCCAAAAACAGGAGAAACTATGAGTTAAACAAACTCGAGGACAAGGGGGAAATTTAATAACTATTAATTAGTTTATTTATCAAACTTACCTTTTTTTATTTCTTTTAAATTTGTTTTTCAGTTAGCCACTTTACTAGTTTTATGCTTAAATATATTATAATTTTATTTTTTATGAGGTTTTGATTTAAATTTTTTTATCTTCGTATTTGTGTAATTTAAATATTTTAGTTTATCTCATCAATGTGATCACACAAACAATTAATATGTTACAAATTTTTAGTTAATTATGTCATTTTCTAGTATTCATTAAAAATTGACAGTATTGATTTAAAAGAAAACACTAGTAACTAAAATATAAAATTCATAAAAATGTCTTGACGAAAAAATATTTATAACATGTTTGTTTCATTTTTAAAAATAAATTTTTTTATTTTTAAAAAAGAACTATTTTAAAAATAGAAATAAATATACTCTTAATTTTTTATATACAACTTTACACTGTGATTGTGCCTTTTTGTGGTTGTGCTTTTATTTATTTATTCATGTGCTGGACACACAGAAAGTCCTGGACCTGTCTTACCATTATTAGATATGAGTGTGTAGTTTTTTTTTTTTTTAATCCATTTGCCGTGCACGTGTCTTATTTAACATATTGTATTTATAAGTGATATTTAACATTTTTAAATTATAATTGTTTGATAAAAAAAAAAAACTGAATCATGTGGAATAATTAAATATGTTGTTAGTTGCTAAAAATTTTATATTTTTTAGTCTTATATTTTCTTTCTTCAATAAATATCTTTCAAACTCATTTTCATTTTCATAATAATTCATTAGTGTTTTTTTTCGTTTTTTCACATATAACTTAAGTCATATAATATAAAGTTAAATTAATATAGATAATAACATGATATTTATACTTTTATTTACTTTGTATTTTCAAATTTTTATTTAAAACTTTTTAATCATATAACTTAAAATTTTATTTAAAAATAATATCAATAACATGTCTTATCCATACCACGTCTCATTCAGAGGGTATAAACTAACTCAAATATTGTGTAAATAAATAAGGCAAGTTAACATATATTGACAAAAATATTAAATAAAAAATAATAAATTTTCAAAAATTAAATAAAACAATATAAATTTTTAAACAATTAATATATTATTTAAGAAAATTAAAAAAGATTAGCAATACATTGTTTCAAACATGCTTTCATAATTTTTTAAAAAGTTAAAAGTATTTATTGTGTAAAATTTATTTTTTTAAAAATAATTATTTATAAAAAATGTATCATAGAATATATTTTAATGATTATTCTTCTAAAATATTTTAATAAATTGTTTATTATGTGTCTAAGAGTATATGATAAAAATTAATAAATAGTAATTTTTATTAAAAATTATAATATTTTAATATTATTAATACATTGAATCAAATATAATTTCTAATAAAAAATAGAACGAGTAAATTTTTATTATATATTTTCAGAAACATGTTAAAAAAGAACTATTTTAATATTTTTATTGTCATTTTTAAATTGAAAAAAATTAACTGGTCTTTGCAAGATAAAAAAACTATATACAATAATTTATTATATATATATATATATATTATTAAAAAAATGGACTAATAGAAAAAATGATTGAATTGAACGTGAAGGTGAAGAGCCTTACCAACTCTCCCCTACCAAACCTCCTCCACCTACCATGGTTCGATCTCTTCACCTCACTCAGTTGCGCTGCCTTTGTTAAACAATCCCAAGTTCACACCCACTTTCTCATTCACTAACCTACCTTTCTCCCCTCTCTCTTTCTCCAAGTTCCAGTGTACATGGCCAACGCGCTACAACACCACGCGGCCACGCGCCCATTCCCTTGCTGTCACCAGTCGCTCCCCGCTTCTCGCCACGTTTCCTCATCCCTCTCTTTTCGCTCAAGCCTTTCCACGCTCCCTCTCAAGTCAGTCCTTATCTCTCAATTTCACACTCTTCATCGTCGTCTTCTTTCTTTTTTACTATTTTCTCATGACGCCTTTGTAGAACCCTGGCGATGGACGCGGCAAAAGAACATAAAAGAATCGTGGTGAAGGCAAAATCTGATTTTGATGAAACGGGCGTTGACATTTCTCTAAGCCCACGTGTCAATGCCGTGAAGCCTTCCAAAACTGTGGCCATAAGCGACCACGCCACCGCTCTCGTACAAGCTGGTGTGCCCGTTATTCGTTTGGCAGCTGGAGAACCGGATTTTGACACACCCTCTGTCATAGCTGAGGTTTAATCTTTCTACATTCCCATTTTCGTTCAAAAAGCTGATTTTTTTTTTTAAAATATATATATGGTGTAATAGGTTGTGTTGTTTGTGTAGGCTGGGATTAATGCAATTCGTGAGGGCTACACTAGGTACACTCCCAATGCTGGAACGTTGGAGCTCCGCCAAGCGATTTGTCATAAGCTAAAGGGTTGGTTTGATTGTGTTGTGTGTTTGGTTTGGATGGTGTTTTTTGATTGTACGAAATGGGGTTTTTTCTGACTTTGTGATGGAATTGGTGTTGCAGAGGAGAATGGGGTTACTTATACTCCTGATCAGATTGTGGTTAGTAATGGAGCCAAACAGAGTCTTGCTCAGGCTGTGCTTGCAGTTTGCTCCCCTGGTGATGAGGTTTGTAAAGGGTTTTCGAATTTTAGTTGATACTTTGAAGGTATAAGCACTAGAAGAGTTACTTATGTTGCAGGATCATTTGGTTAGGTATGAGTGAATAGTTTGAACGAAGTTATTGGAATTATTCATCCTCTTTCTGTCTTTCGCTTCGTGAAAACACAAGAACATCTTTGATGCATTTGAAATATCTTGTGCTTTGTATGTGCTTGTAGACTTGTAGTATCATTCTGCAACCTGTCTGAAATTATTGACTGGCCTTTGTTCAAAAGATTCCCAATTGTTTTACTCACCTTTTTTTAATCAATTTATCTTGTATTTATTGGTCCTGTAGCCTTATGCTTCTGTGGCAAAGGTCAAGCAAATTAAGAAGCCGCTCCGTAGCAAATGTGTTTAATTTGCTTTAGGACAAACTTATTAATGTATACTATCTTTCCTTTTTCTTGTAATGGGCTTCATTAATGGTTCCCATATTTCAGGTCATTATTCCAGCTCCATTCTGGGTCAGTTACCCAGAAATGGCAAGGTTGGCTGATGCAACACCTGTGATTCTTCCAACATCGATATCTGATAATTTCCTTTTGGATTCCAAACTCCTTGAATCCAAAATTACTGAAAAATCGAGACTGCTGATTCTTTGTTCTCCATCTAACCCAACAGGATCCGTCTACCCCAAGAAATTACTTGAAGAGATAGCCCAGATTGTAGCAAAGCACCCAAGACTTCTGGTATAGTCAAACATCATTTGTGAGATCACCAATGCTTCAATGGGTTCAGCCTAGATGATAGTTCCTTTCAAGATCTTAATGGCTGTTTTATGCAGGTTCTTTCTGATGAAATTTATGAACACATAATTTATGCACCAGCAACTCACACAAGCTTTGCATCTTTACCGGGAATGTGGGAGAGAACTTTAACTGTGAATGGATTTTCTAAGGTTAGTCCGTATGTCACATTCTCTTTTTCAGAATTGCATCCGAAAAACTAGGATACTTGTAACTATGATTTTTTTTGGGTATGTTTTTGGTGCTCATGATGTATTTTGGATTCCTTGTTCTTATGCTGTTTCATGGTGGTGTTGTAAATTATAACCTGACATGGAAGGCCTTCAAATTGTATCCTGATGTTTAAATTGTTTCCTGTAGGCCTTTGCAATGACTGGTTGGCGGCTTGGGTATCTTGCTGGTCCAAAACATTTTGTTGCAGCATGTGGAAAGATCCAAAGTCAGGTATGCTACATTTTATATTTGCTACTTTCATCTGCCTTATCCTTCACAACGTACTTGTGTTGATTTCCTTTTGCTACATGACATCTAACAGATTCTTAGGTTTAATCAGATTCAGTGTTTGAGGGGAAACTTTAAGAGATTTTCTAGCATTCATTTGGAATAATTTGGACTGCTGTTTCTATTTAATATAATTTTCAGTATAAACTGGCTGATGCATCTTATTGAATTTAGTTCACTTCAGGGGCCAGTAGTATAGCTCAGAAAGCTGCAGTTGCTGCATTAGGATTAGGGTATGCTGGTGGGGAGGCTGTTTCTACCATGGTGAAAGCATTTAGGGAGCGAAGGGATTTCTTGGTAAAGAGTTTTGGAGAAATGGATGGTGTTAAAATATCTGAACCCCAGGTGCAAATTCATTTAATTTGTTTATTTTGTCTCTTCCTTTTCCTGTCTGCTTTTCTGCTCAAACCTAATATTTTCCAGGGAGCATTTTATCTATTCATTGACTTCAGCTCCTACTATGGAAGAGAAGCTGAAGGATTTGGAAAAATTGAGGATTCTGAGTCCCTGTGTAGATATCTTCTGGATAAGGGCCAGGTATAGTCATTACAGTAAAGCTTAAATCATCTATATATACAAAGTTGAAAGAGAAGAAACATCTTAACATAGCAGCCAAGTTGTGGAGCTCTTACTGGTTAATTAATTAGTTATAACATAGTGTGTTGCCATTTTTGGTTACAGGTAGCCCTGGTGCCAGGGAGTGCATTTGGAGATGATACTTGCATCCGCATCTCTTATGCAGAATCCCTTACTACCCTACAGGCAGCAGTAGAAAGAATTAAGAAAGCACTTATCCCTCTAAGGTCTGCCGCGGTTGTTTGATTATGATTTGTTGTTGTATTGGGTGTATTTTAATGTTGGCAATGTGTAATATGTCTATTTTGAAAAATAATAGGCTTTGGCTATTTTATCCACAAATAAAGTGATACAACTCGCTTATTAATGATTTTTAATTATAATAACAAAATCCCCCCTCCCTTAGTTACCATAAGGTTCCCAGGAGAGGCATGGGACGGTCGACACCATTTGTCTTCTTAATTTTGGTGAGTCAGGTCAAAATCATAAATAGGTTTCACAACATTTTATGCAACATTTTAGATTGCCACTACCAAAATAACATTTTAACTAGCTGCTCGTAGAAAATATTGCTCCTGGATTGAAAGCTACTATGCTTGTTTACATACACAATTTCGAAATAATGACTTCAGCCAATCTTTTTTTTTTGTTACTTTTTAATATCGAGAAAATATTTGTTCTTTCCAATTTTATACTTTCTCTACAGTTTCTCCAAAGCATTTAGTATTGATATTTGTATTAAAATGATTAATTCTAAAAGAAGAATAATTTAGTCCTATGATTAATTTTCTTTCTAGATTTTAAGAATTATTAATTTTCTTAATTATTATACACAGCTCTGAAGCAACAAATATTTGTGTGTATTAGAAAAGTTATGTCCATGCGCTATAATCTTGATTTCAGATTTTTAAGAGGGGTTGGAAATTTATGTTTGCTTGTTTAGCTCTGATGAATTATCAGTAGCTACAGCAACGTGATCAGCTGTTTGCCAGTGCGTTATAAATTGTTAAAAGCAAACATGCCTTGTGAAACTGGGAATCGATAATTTAGGATATATTCTCACTAATCCAAATTTGATATACGAAGACCATTTGTTTCTGTTTTAGCAAAGTCAATCAAAATGTATTGGCTCAATATGGGTAAGGTTTGTATTAATTTTGCTAAACCCAACCAGGTTAATACATTTCTAATAAAAATTTATTATTTACTTATTTTTCTTACAAATTTATATGAATACCACTAAATTTCATAATTACATGCGGACCCAATGCTGCTATAAGCCCAAGGGTGGCGTACATGAAGCCCAATCTCTATTTTGGAGAGCTCATGATACCTGAGCCGTACGATTTTGTTGTCTAATGGAGAGCGAACAGTTAAGCTTGGAACCATAGGCCCAAATTAAAATATATTTGGAAAAACAAATGTTAATTAATCCGTAGGGGATACATACATGGATTAATGAATTAATTAATATAAAATGTTTCATATTATATGCTTATTTTGGCGTAGAATCAATTCCCAGGTAGGAGACTGCTTGACATGTCCCACAACGACAAGTTTTCCAATAGCCAAAAGGTTAAGGTTTCATTAGAAGTTTCCTGTTGGAAAGGCAATGTAACAAAGGGAAAATGAGAGCGTGGGAAGGAAGGAAAGGCAATCTTAATTCTCCATCTTAAATATTCCCATCTACCCCCCAAGTTCATCAATCCCTCCCCTTCATGCAACCTTGCATAGCGACTTCAACTTGGAGACAATCAACCTTCACAAACAAGAATTGGGTTTCCTCTGCATGCACTTTTCTGTTCAAATAGACCACGTTCCTACCTAAACTTCATCTATATATAGTAAACAAATGAAACCAAAACCAAGTTTGAGGGAGGAAAAAAAGCAATCCTTGTGATCATGATGGAGGCCTCTTATTCATGCAGTGAGCATGCACCTGAGATTGTTTTCTTTGATTTGGAAACCACAGTGCCCAGAAAGGGTGGACAACGGTTCTGGGTCCTAGAATTTGGTGCTATTGTAGTTAGTGCCCACAAACTCAACGAGATCGAGAGCTATACCACGTTGATAAGACCCAAAGACCTTTCTGTAGTCTCAGTGAAGTCCAACAGATGCGATGGAATAACTCGTGAAACTGTTGAGAATGCACCATGTTTTGAGGATGTTGCAGATAGAATATTCAGTATTTTGAATGGAAGGGTGTGGGCTGGGCATAACATTCAGAGATTTGACTGTGTTCGAATCAAAGAGGCCTTTGAAGATGTCAATAGGGCAGCACCTGTACCAGTTGGAATCATTGACTCTCTGGGGGTCCTAACTGAGAAGTTTGGACGCAGAGCTGGTAACATGAAGGTACGTAAGAAATAGCAGCAACAAATGTTAATTCTTCACGTGAAAAAATCCTCATAATTTCAAATTCTCAGTCACTATTATTCATGGGCAGATGGCAACACTGGCTTCTTATTTTGGCCTTGGCCAGCAAAAGCATAGGTATGCATGCGATGCATTTCTAACTCTAGTGCTTGTAATAATAATAACTTAATTTCAATCATTTTTTTCAATAAATACTTATAAAAAATAAAAAGATAAATTAAATTAATTTTTTAATAAGTTAAAATCAATATATAGATATTAACTTCTTTAGAATTTTTTTTCTCTAACTTTTAAAAGCTGATGTGCATAAATTTTTTAATTTATGCAAATTAATTTACGAAGATAATTTATTTTAGCTTCTTATTTTCTTCTCCCGTAAATAATATTTGAAAAACTATCCATAATTTGAGTACTATATATAATGGCTTTTGTAAAATTGAATGATATATATTCATGACTATTTTAATTCGAAGCAGGAGCTTAGATGACGTTCGCATGAACTTGGAGGTCCTTAAACACTGTGCAACGGTGTTGTTTCTGGTGTGTAATTTTTATCTCCTAGTTTAATTAATCTGCTTATTGCTTGACTTTGAAAACAAATATTCCAGCTAGCAACATGATTCTCACACGATTTTTATGGCTTATGGGTAATGTTAGGAATCTACTCTACCAAACACGTTGCATGGCAATTGGTATGGATCTTCTTCCAGCATTATGACGCGAAGCAAAACTAATGGGAAATCGCCCAGCAAAGACGAGACTAATAGAAAATCTCCCCCAACTTCATTGGGATATCAGAGGACAGTCCCTTATGCTAGGGGAAGTTTGGGAAAGGTTTTTACTTATTGGCATAATATTAGTTAATTTTTCTTTCAAGTTTTTTATGTTAATCAGCATATTCATCTTACGGGAATGATAATGGAACTCCTTTATACGTAGGTAACCGAAAGAGTGAAGGGGTTGTTGTGTAAAGCACAAGGGCAACCACCTCTCCAACAACTACTCAAACATTCTCATTCATTGCTAAGGTGAAGAATTGCCAAGTTGGATTTTCCGTTCAGAAGAAGGCCTCATGTTTTGTTGAGGTGGCAGATTGAAAGGAAGATGTGCATGCACAAGATGCCAGCATGTTTTACTAGGACGATTCCGAGAATGTTTAAGATTCTAAAGCTCAAGAAAGAAACCGAGTAACGGCCAAAAAATTCACTTGTGTATATTTCAATTGATTCATTTATTCAAATTCTTAAAGCATACTTCTTGAATGAAAGATGCTAAGAACACATGTATTTGTAGACGAAATCAAATTGAACAGTGATATTAAAATATTTTCCAAACAATGAGTTTCGATCAGATACAGACTAAGATCTTCCGTATCATTGAATCGCTAATATATGTTGATTGAAAACGAGGTAAATCATGCTAAAGAACAAATTTTGCAACAACCTTTTTTTAATTATTTAGAATTCTGTTGATCTTGGGGCAGCTAGCCTATCCATTTAGCACTTATACACGCTTATGATCATGATATCCAAAATCTTCGATGATTACATTACAGTAGCATATAATGCAGACTCACTCCTATATCATAACTTATGTATCTCCACTTTATGTGTGAATATTTATCTATTCTTACTCTTATTATAAACACTTATTTTAAGTATGAAGTCTCATCACTACAGATACATCAACCCTTCACCATCATCAATCTCAAGTTATTCTCTGGACTTCATTGGTCCTATTCTCCTTGACTTCACTAAAAATACCAGATCGCTTTAAATCAAGATATATTTATGACATTGTGAAATTTAAAATAATAATATCTTTAATATTTTTAAAACTGAAATTTTATAAAAATAAACATCAATTTAAATGATATTATTACAACAATTATGGGTATATATATATATATATATATATATATATATATATATATATATAAACAGGTTAATCCCTAAATATCCAATTTAGAGATTTACCGAAAATAATATTAAAAAATATTATTTGAACGTCTTCTAGCCCACTGACTCGTGAATGGGCTGTGGCATTCGGAGGGGAGCCCATCAACAAGCCCAATGACCCAATTTTTGTGAACCCAAATTTCACAATCTCCGGCTCTTCCATAATTCCATTCCCTCAAATCCACGGCAACGGTGACTCCTCCAACGGTTTGGGTTGGCTATGGCTATCTGGTAGGTTCACCTTTTCATGAATTTGAGTTCAATGTGCTAATGATTGTCTCTGTTTCACGATGAATGTTGTTGATAGCTTGATTGGTTTGTGTATGCTTGCACTTTCGTCACACGATTTTGGTCTCGCATTTGTTTTCTAGTTTTGATGTATATCTGATACTAGTTTGATTGGTGCATGCTTGGTTTTGTTAGGAGCTTCTTGTAACCTTAACTTGAGGAAAGCATATTTCTTAAACAAATGAAGAATTAGTTTGTTTTCTGTTTAGTGTTTAGTGACAGTGATTTTGGTTGCTGAAGTGAGTCTCTATTTCGGACTAATATGTATTGTGTTGAGTTATTTTTACCTAAGGAACCATAGTTTGTTTCTTTACTCTGGGGTTAACTAAACCGTAGTTTGAATCTGTTATCAAGGTGGAGAAATTTCAATTGTACTGGTGTTAATTTGCAAGTTGGTTAACCTTCTTGTTTGACTATTAGACATCTCACGCCTGAGGCGTTAAATATTTTCTGCACCTCATGAAGATGGATTTTTTTTTTTTTAAAAAAAAATTCATAGAATCTGGGATCTGGTTCTATTTATTGTTGATGATAATTTTTTCACTGTGGCTGTGACCTGAGATACAAGATTGCTATTTATTGGAATGCCATGCCGTCTGAAATGACCATAGAATAGCTGCCCAATGATGGCTCATATTAATAAAGGATGAATTGGAATTTATATTTCCAAAATAGGATGGGTTTTGATGCATAAATGGTGGAGATTGAAATGAGGTTTTGGTTTTTTTTTTTTTTTCTTGCTTTGCCATGCTCAATGTGAGTTGTTGATGTTGCATGCCTTTTTAATTAAGAAAATAGAAAAGATTATGATTTTAAGTGCATTTTTTAATTAGTTGGCTCTCTTTCCTTTTATGTCAGTCAGGTTAACCCCACACATACTTTAGAAAATGTCAGTATGCTTAAATGTGTGAAGATGTTTGTTTTCCAACACCCCCACCCCCCTGCGCGCAAAAAAAAAAAACCAAACACATCCGCAGTTATTTTGTGAATATTCAATTGCACTTAAAGCATGTGCTGCCTGAAATTGTTTTGTTTCCATCATTTTACTGAGGGGATAAGATGTATATTTTCAAGCTATGTAATTATGCAATAGCTATAGCTATAGGAGTTTAGCACTAACTACAGGTGCATATTAGATTTGTGTATTAGGTATACTTTAAGAATTTGGATTCAAATTCCATCTTGTCTTAATCTTATGTATAATTAACTCCTGGACCTTCCTTAATTTCAAAGTTCATTTTTTTAAGAAAATAAACTGTCAGTCATTCTTCGCACCCAATAAAATATTAGTGAGGACTCTTTTCTTTTTTTTACCTTTATCTTTGACAAAAAAAAATGGCCATGAAAAACATGGTTTAAGAAAAAAAAAAGAAAAAGTGGCGCTTTAATTATGCAATTTGCTTGTGATTTTTCTGCAATAATCTTCATATTAAACAGAGTTTATGTTTCTGTACCTCAACTCTGTTCCTAATACATAATTTATCCTTACTTCCAAAAAATTTTGTCTCAATTTTCTTGTTGAGTTTTGCAATTGAGGTGCATTTGTCTGTTTGTTGCAGTTGAAGCTCCAGATTCATGAAATGCTGCCAAAAATTATGAAGCTTCCATTTTGACTGAATCCATATTGTAATTTCACCACCAATGGGTTACAGATGCATTCAATGCGGGTGTCCCATCAAAACACTTTATGTTCAGTATTCTCCAGGCAACATTCGCTTGATGAAATGTGTATGCCTTTTTTTCAAAAAGTAAAATAAAACTCAAGATCATTATTTTTTGTCCATAATTTCCTAACTAGTGAATTGTTTATTTTATCCTGTTTGTGTCACAGGAGAATTGCAAGGCTGTTGCAGACGAATACATAGAATGTGAAATCATGGTGCTTAGTACCCCCTTATGCCACTGGCTTAAAAGTTGAAACCTTTTGGTTTTTTTGTCATGAAATTCCCTTGTTTTCTCCCTTTCTGTTTCAGATTCTTGTAATAGATATAATACTACACAAACCCAAGGCCTATAGACATCTCCTCTACAATGTCATCAATCAAGAAAACTTGAAATTTCAGGTATATATCAGTTCCTCTATGATTTCTCCTGTAGTACCATACTGTATAATTACTCTGTTCTTTACTTCTTGTTTTTATGTATTTTAAGCAAATGTCAACTTGTTTTCAGTTTTTACAATTTTAATTATTGCAATTATCACATTTTAAAAAAAATGGCAATCTCTTGTTAATTTCAGTTAGCATCTTTACTGACAGAAGTGTTATTTGATGACAATGAGTGGTTGTTATTTTGTTGACTACAATAACCAGCATGAAGCATTTTGATATGCTGCAGTAGTTACTTTTGTAGAAACCTAAACTTTATACGAAAAATATCTCATCAATAGACTTTGGATCTTTAAATAAGAAAATTGATATACTGCAGTAGATACTTGCTTTTCAGCCCTATCAATGTGCATAAGGTATTTTATTTTGGTCTTATAATCTATTAGAACATTCTCGGATAACATGGATGGTTCTTTGTGAGAGTTCATTTTCTGATCAAGTATTCACAAAAAATGAATTTAATAATCAATTACTTGCTAATAAAATTCATTTTAATGTAAGGCACATGTACTCAAAATAATGAGATCCGATTAATCTACTTTTTCCAACACTAAACATGCTGATCATACTTTTTTATAACTTTGCAGGGACTACTCTGGAAACTGGCTGTTATTTTTCTTCTTTTTGATGCTTGTATCCATTATTATGTGGATCTTATTCCTTTTAAAGCTTTAGGAGCATAAAATTTTTAATTATAGTTTTTGGTTTACAAAACCATATATGAGGCCCTTACAGCTTTTTAAAGACAAGTGTATGATCTTGGAAAGCAGCAAAGGCAAATTGGGTTCATCAATGAGCTTCTCTTCATTAGTATCAATATGCTGTAAGGTGCAGATAATAATAAAATCACCCTGTTACATGAATCACTTGGTCTGATTTTTATGTCAATCATGATGAATGTTACATGGTCTTCATTGGCAGATGCTGATGGATGTCTTATTTGGGAATTTTATGTTGCTTTTAACTTTCTTCTTTACAGTCAAGATATTTCTCCATACATCAATCAGCATCTCCAGGTATATGCTAATTTATTTGTCATACCATACTTGTAATGAAGAATGTGACAATTAGTTAACATACTTTTGATTTAATTATCAATAAAAAGGAACATTTTCTTTTAGCATTTTGAAGAAAGATTAAGTACAAAATTATCCATTAAGTGTTCTCATGAATCTATCAGAATTGAATTAAACTTTTTTTTTTTTTTTTTGCTGTTTTCGTATTGAACTTGATATGATGAATATAATCGTATCACAAATATATGAGCTATGTAAACATTATTTATGAAGTAGTGAATTCACTTGTTTGTAGCCATGGTTGAGAAAGAATTTCAATCTGATCAAATGGTGAAAATATGGCATAGAAAAGATGGTGCAGTAATTTGCACCAAAAGGTTCATGGTATTTTCATGCTTTCAAAGTGCTTTAAAACATTTTAATTAAAGGGATAGAAAAAGACAAGGCATGATAGAATATGGAACTATTTCTGCCAGTTTTAACTTTGTGGAAGCATTAATTAGTTGTTTTTGATTAATTACAATCCTGTATCCATATCAGTTTTAGTTTAGTGTTTCTAGATCTTCAAGATCACTTAAGCTTAGATGTAATTGTCTGTGCAGGTGCAATGACCTTCTGCTTGTACTCATGATTTCAGGTTACTTCAAGATTTTTCTTATTGCCATGACGGTAATGTCTGCAATGAAGAAATCTAAGTTGGTTTTTTTAGTTTTATTGTTTAGCGCTTCCTGTACCTGTCTATGATGTGTTTTTGAATGCAATCTATCTTTTTAATTTTTCAAGTATCTATCCTATAGGTCTGGGAATTTCCATCTTCTGTGATCTTCATCATTGAATTATTTTGTTTATCATCTAATGCAGTGGCATTGAAAGGTTAGTAATCATGCTGCTGAATGTTAGAGATATCTGTAATTATACTAATTTAAAATGCAAACATCACACAAATTCGCCATTATGTATGATATCCCTCAATCATTTATATTCCATCCCCAACTTTTGTATAAGCCAGTATTCTGTTGCGGTGCTTTCACATATATGGTAGTGTGGTATGTGTTTTTAGTTTGAATAGCCAGTGGGAGTAATGAAATTAACTCGAACTGCAATATGTGCGACTCATGTGAGAATTAATTTGATGAGGGAATAAAAATGAAATAAAAGTACTTCAATGATGACCATAATAATGCTTACCTGCAATTGTCAGTCTTGAAATATAAAGCATGCCACTGAACACTGATGAGCTTTTTTTTTTTGTACCAGTGATGACTGAGTCAAGTATGAGTCGATGTGTTTTGACCTGCTTCAGTGCATATACTATAAAATTTTTGGTTGGATACTGGAGCACATATTGTTGGGGCAATTGATGCTAGGCTTGGAGTCAAATGCCATACTTGCCAGCATGATTTAGTTTTTCATTGCCATGCGAATGTATTGGTAGCAGAATTTTGTATCAATTTTGTTTCTGATATATATATATATATATATATATATATATATATGTGCTCATTGAAATTTTATTTCTTCCTTACACATGCTTACATTTAGTCGTTTGCACTGCTTAGCACCTAAATGATCATTCATTTCTTGACACCTTTTATGACCCTGGAGAAAGGCATTTAAACGCGGCATCTTAGTTTCTTAAAATCGTAAACGCGTGGGGAAAACGGCCTCATGATTTTTTTTCGGAGAACCAATTATTCCTGTCATTTGCGATTTATTAAATTTTTAAGGTTTTACTTTTTTCTAGAATTTAATTGACATTTATTTGGTGTGTTTCGATCCGTGTTTTGAAGATATAATTACTTACTCTTTCAGTTATTTTTATATTAGTATTTCTTAAGAAATAATTATTTCATTTTAAAATAAAATAAACTGACATTGTTTAATTTTATATATCATTTTTATCTCATTTAATTTTTTTATACACATTCAAAAAAAAAAATTAAAAAAAAAAAATATATATATATATAGGAAAATTTTTTAGTACCTCCTCGGCTTGATGCTTTACACTCCCACATTAACCATCCATTTGGAAGGGTGAAAGGAAAGCGAGGGGAAGAAAAAAAATTTAAAATTTAAAATAAAGAAAAAATAAACAGAAGAAAAAGTATGGATTTTTGTTTTTTAAAAGTCAATTTTTTTTTCTTCAATTAACCCAAAAAGGTATATCATTCGTATTTTTTTTCTTTTTTCTATCTTCCAAATAAAACATAAGCTTGAATATATGAAAAAGTCCGCATCAGCCCCGCACGCAGAAAAGATTCATATCATTCTTGCCGTAAAACATAAGAAAGAAGATTAATATTAAAAAAGAAATCCATCCTTTTCCAATCAATTTTTTATATTATAATTATACAATGCCATTAAACAAGATTATCTTTTTCTTCTTATTTTCTTTTTCAATAAAATCAAATAACATTCCTTTTATCAAATTTCTCTTTATTTTTAATTTTTTAATATTTATCCTTTTCCAGCTAAAGCATAAAAGTTAATGAGTGGGGGAGTACCAAGTAAAAGAGTAAAAAAATTACGAATTTTCTAATTAGTAAAAAATTATTAAAAATAATATTAAGTACTATAATATATTTTTCAATACATTAAATTTTATAATTTTTTTAAAACGTAATATGATGTATCTATTTCCTAACATATATCAAAGAACACATAATGAAAATTAATAAATAATATTTTTAAAAAATATATAGCTTTTAATATTATTAATACATTAAATTTTCTGATATTTTATAATTTTTAATTAAAATTTATTATTAAAAATTTACTGTATGCTCTTAAATAGACGTTAAAAATGTAATTATATATAAATTGTTATAATGGCTGGAGAAAACTAAAAAGTATTAACCCTAAAAGAAAAGAACGTGTTAGTGAAATTCTAGCCATTTTTTGATGTGAGGTTAATGATATGCATGAGTTAGAAACACAGCAGCAGTATTAATGAGAGAATCTAAAAGTGAAAAGAAATTAATAACGCAGGCAACAACCCAAATTACTAGCGTATTAATTACAAATCCCATAAATTCCTGCGCATATGATGCAGATGTCCCCATCATTTCCTACTCTCTTTCGGAGATTTCTTAAGAGGGATGCATTTCTCTTTCATCCCTCCCTTCATCTCCCCCTCTTCTTCCTTTACCTCCATCCCTAACTTGCTTCTCCTACATCAATATTTTAAACAAATATACTTATGCATCAAAATCAAGCATAGCTAGAAACTTCAAAATCAACCACACTTTCACTCATTTTACTTTAAAATAAGAAAATACAAACATCAAGCTTTAATAAGTTAAAATTATCTACCTTTGTTCGTCATAGGAATTTGACCTCTTAAGCAGTGGATGGGGAATCCGGTCCGTTTTGATGGAATCGACCAAGCTACCACTGAAGTATTCCTTCTCCTCTGTTCCCAACAACCTCGGATTCATCATCATCTCATTCTCACACACAAACTCTCTCTCTCTCTCTCTCTCTCTCTGCTTCGTCCCCACATTGCTAAGCCTCGCTTCCTGTTTCCCCTTCATCTTATACTCACCGCCACACGCTATCAGCTGCAACAAAACAGAGTAACGACTCGCTCCTGACTCACTTCCATCCCCAACTCGTTTCACATTGTGACTCGTTGGGTTCGAAGGAGGAGCAATAGCGTTACCACGTGGCGAATGGTTATTGGTTCTGGTAATAACTACCTTTGTAGCGTTGTTTTGAGTTTGACCATCGTGCTCTTCCTCGTCAACCAGTTCCTCCGTGGACACACCTCGGGAGCAACGCGAGTGGGGTGTCGTGGTGGAACTCGTGTAGCTTGTTTTCTCTCCATCCTCGTACTCTTTCTCTTGTTCCTCGTATTCTTCGTATTCTTCAGGTTCTTTCTGTTGCCTGCACCCACTCAATGCTTTACTTTTTGAATTGTAATTGTAATTTGTTTCCGCTTGTTGATATACCGCTTGTTTGTTGCTCACGTTCACTTGCTGAAATCTTTCTGCATAAATTAAATTTAATAACAACAATCACCAATTAGTTAATTAATTTTTTGTATTAATTATTATAATTGCAACAATAAATCTTGTTGAAGAGAAGAGAGAGTAATTAACCAGAGCATCCTTCCACTAGTTCGGATCCTTTGAGTACATATTCTCCTCCTTCTGCGGGATGTATTACATCCTTAAGTCCCAAATCGTACCACACATAACCGCTCTTATAGCTCCTGAAATTGCCAAAGTAATTGAACAAAATCGAGTGTGGGTAGCACATGAATAAATTTATAATAATAATACTGTAAGAAGCCATACCTTTTACTAGACCATGAATATTGCAAAGGCATGCCACTCCCTCTGAGAGCCATTAGCCGATCGAATACATCTTTATCAAATTAAATGTAAATTAAAAAACAAACGAATCAAGTTATGGTGGAAGAAAATTGATAACAATGTAGCTATATATAAAAACTCATTAGATATATTTTACCTTTTAAACGGAGAGGTTGATTGGGCAAAAGGGTAACTTCCATGAAATGAGGATGCTCCAATAGGCCGTTTCGTGAGAGATAATAAACGACTTGAACTTTTCTGGAGGGCTTCACCTTTTGCTTCAATCTGCATAGTTTGGCACGGTCTGGGCTGGTTTCTCTGTTATTATTATTACCTCTTTGATTTGAACGAACAACGTCCATGCTCAACAAAACTTGTTCAAAAATTCACCTTTTTTTCTTGGTGTTGACAACGGTGGCTGAGGAACGAGGAAGGAAAGCACCGCCACCCAGTAGGCCACAGAATACCTCTTTATTATGCTCACACGAGACGAGAATGAAACTGATTGAGAAAGGACCAGCAAAAAGAGAGAGACTCAGAGTGTGTAATTAATGTTGCATGGATAAGAAACTCAATGACAAAAGTTGGTAACAATGTTTAATAATAATTTTTGAAAGTAAATAATAACAGTTCTTTTAATTTATGTAGTAGATGTATATATTTTAATAAAATTTCATTGTTTTAAATATTTAAAACTAACTTTAAGAATTAATATTCTCACGCTCCTTACAAATATTACGAAAAGATATTTTAAAAAAAAAAGCTTTTCACGTTCTTAATTAATATAATTTATATAATGTTGTTGATTTATACCTTGGTAGTTAGCGAGAATGCATGTAATTAGGATTAAAAAGAAGTGTTTTCTGGAATTGAAGAGTGTTATTTTACATATTTCAATGCATGGAGGAGATGAGAGGCAGTCTATAGTTCATAGTCCATAGACCTTAAAAAAAGCGTAAAACGGGGATGGTACATATCAATGCAGAAAAGATTCGCTTTTAAAAGTACCGTTAATTAGAAAGACACAATGGGAGAAGGAGTGGGTGAAAGCAAAAGGTAACACGCTAGTAGAAAAAAGCCTCAACGCTGTGGTCTCAATCAGCGTCCCATAAATGAATTTAATTTGACTTTGCTATCCCTCTGTTCCTGATTTGAGACAACAATGACCATTGCCAGAGATTGCTCAGTACGGATACCTTTTTGCCAATTTTACTTCCCATCGTTGACGCCATTTTACCTTTTTCCCACTTCAATTCTTCTTTGTCTCTATCTCCCAGTTTCGCTGCAAAAGAAATTAGTATAATCGTAACCAAAAGGAAGGTGTTTAGTGTTGCTAATTATAAAAAGTTTAATTAAAGTGAACATATATATAATTTCCCTTTTTATTCGATCTTTCTTTGTTTACATCGGTAATCTGTAAGTTTTACTTATATAGTTTCATTTTTTTGGAATTAATGTGATTATATATATCAATGGTAACATAAAATGATTCTCGTAAGAGTAGGATCACTTCACCTTAGATTTGAAACAAGAAAGTTGAAACACCACAGCTACATGGTGACCAAGGAATAGACACGAATGAGTGTCTGCAGGTTTCATGTTCATTGACTAGCCTACCGCTATTTTTATTATTACTGTGGTTACGCCATTGCTTTCTTAGGATAAGTACTGTCCTCTTCTCTAAGGGACTTCTAATATTTATTTAAATTTATTGAAAATATCTTTATAAAGATGTTGATTAAGAAATTGATAAAAAATATTTAAAATTACATTAAATATATTAACATTACGAAATAAATTATTTTGTTTTTTAATAAAAAATATTTTTATTTGTTAACTGATGCCTTAACATAAGGATAAGAATATATATACATAACTGATTGAAAGGGAATTAGTCTGAAATTTTTTTAATGAAAAAAAAAGAGTTAAAGTTATGTTAGATTTTGGAATTATTAGTAAGCAGTCTATATGTATATGTAAAATCTATGTTCTATCAGGTTTCCCAAGTTATCATTTTCTTGTTTGCTTTCTGTTGAGGATTTCTTTCTTCTATATGACGCAATTACTGGTATTACCTTAAAAGATTATACATATATCATTACTCAAAGAAAAATTTGGAGCAGTAACTAGGGGAAGAAGGACTTTTTTATTCTAAGTCACCTCTATCATTATAACAAGTAACTTTGTTTAAATCTAAAATAATTACATCACTACAAATTTAGCTCTTCTAGTAATTAGAAGAAAAACACGTACCATTGAATCAACCCTTGGTTGGTAGGTGAACTAGGGAAGCAAATTTTTTTGAGTAGTTTAAAAACATTTACAATTCGATGTGAATTTTTTTTCAATGTTTTTTTTTAAAGATAATTGAAAATGTATTGTTGGAACAAATTATCCACTCTTTTTCTTATATATACTTGCGCAACATTTTATTTAGATTCTTTTAAAAATTGACTTTCACGTCTAGTTTTTTCTAAATTAATTTGTTTGTTTCTATTGATTGATGTGTCTTGTAAAAGCTTAATATATAATAACATTTTAATTAACCAGTTTATTATTAATAAAATTCGAAATAAAAAAATAGATACTGAATTAAAAATATAAAAGACTACAAATATATTTAAAATTTTAATTTATTATATAATATAGCAAAAGAGTGAAACAATACAGCATTTTGTGTTACGTGCGTACTACACACAGAGCATGGGGTCCGGTTGATCAGTTGATGGACCCCATTTATCCGAACTGAGGTTGCAGGGTGCATTGTTCGATGATCACGAAAAGGGAAAAACAAATCAGAAACTTTAAGAGGTCTTCGGATAGAACTGATTTTTGCATTGCATGTTGGATCTTGGAAGCTCCTTTGGCCATGGATGATGCAATGATGCATAAATAGTTTTCAACTACACCCCAACACCATTATCCCTTTTCTGTCTCTTTGCCTCCTGCGGATCATGCCCCACATCTTTTCTCATTATTTGCCCATCATAGCAACTTTCAATTTATTATAACCTTGTTCAACGTGGCTTTAACCCAATATTAATTGATTATAAATCACTTAACTATTTTTGTTTTGGTTTAAATATTTAATTAGTTTTTATACTTAATACGCTCTTCTACGTATAGAAATGAAAACAGGTCAGACTACGCTTTATTCTAAACAAGTTTGACCTGTAATATAATTATTAGGTTTAAACTTTACCTGTTACTTGTTAGAGACTTTATTTTATGATTGGCTTAATCTGAAGCCTATTAATAAAGTTTGTTACAAAAAAAATATATTAATAAAAATATAAATATTTTATTATCAAATTAGTTATATATCTTTCTAATTTTTGTTTATGTTATTAATAATTATTAAATAATTATAATAATATTTATATAATTTTCTAAATAATTTTTAAAATATTATTTAAGTATTAATTGTAAATATTTTATATTAATAAATTTATATTTATATTTTTCTTGATTTAATTTTTAAAATTATATAAATAGTAAATATTTTCGTTTTATTTTATAAATATATTTTGTTTGTTTAAAAATATTTTCTATTCAACAAATAAAAATATAGTAAACACATAAAATTGATAAAAAAAAATATTCACACAATTTCTTGAATCAATTAAAAGAAAATTATTATATTTTAAAAAATAAATAAATTTAAACTTAATGCAATATATATATACATATAATGACAATAATAATAACTATTAAATTAAAAAAATAATTACAAAATATTTAATTTTATTTGTTTCATTAATTTGTTGTTTTAAATTAACAAATAAATATAAAATTAACTACATTATAACATTAATGTAATATAGAAAATATTACTGATACAATAAATTAAAATATATACTTATATATTACATATAAATTGATAAATTAACTAATAATTTAATTAAAATACGTGCAAGTTACAAAAATATATATTATTATATAATTTATTTATAATTATATTATTTGCTACATGGTCTATATATATATACATATATTATAATAAATTTTTATTTTATTTTCTTATCATTTTTTCATAAATTTTTCCTTTTAAATAAAATATAATTTATATTTAAGTAATTTCTATTTATTATAAATATAAAAAATTATAACATAATATATTAATATAATAATTGAATATTAATAATAATAAAATTAAAAATATGAAAAATTTATTAAAAAAATATTAATATTTTATTTTTAAATTTTAATTAGTTTAATTTTAATCGTGTCGTATTTTTCTTCAACTTGTTTAAATATAACAAATATAATAATTTATAATTAAATAAATTTATTTTTTAAACACATGTAATCGTGTATAAATATTTTTAATTTTGAATATAATATAATTTTTATTTATTATAAATAAAAATTATAACATAATATATTAATATAATAATTAAATATTAATAATAATAAAATTAAGAATATAAAAAATAAATTAATATAATATTATTTTATTTTTAAATATTAGTTTCTTTAATTTTGATTGCATTCTAATCTTATTCAAAAATTTTGCTGCTCTACAGCTTATTCAAACAAATATAATAATTTACCTTATATTTATATAATATAGAAAATATAACACATACTTATATATTACATACAAAATTAACTACACTGTAACATTAATGTAATATAGAAAATATTACTAATACAATAAATTAAAACACATACTTATATATTACATATAAATTGATAAATTAACTAATAATTTAATTAAAACATGTACAAATTATAAAAAAATATATTATTATATAATTTATATTATTTGCTACTTTTTTATATATATTTTTTTAAAAATATTTTTGTTTTTATATTACAAAAATAATGTATAAATTATAAACATATACTTTTTTAATAATATATTTTTTTGTAATATAAATCATGTATAAAATTTTTTAATAGAATATAATTTCTGTTTATTATAATTATAAAAAATAAAAATATAACATAATATATTAATTTAATAATAACATAATTAAGAATATAAAAAATATATTATTAAATAACTTAATTATTTAAATATATTTTGACAGCTCTATTTTTAAATATAATATATATTTATAAATTTATACAAGCTAGCCTGTCAAGCTTAATAGACTTTATAAACAGCTTAAGCCTGACTTATTTACTTAAACAAGACTTAAAAATAGTCCAAGCCTGATTTGTTTATTAAAAAAGTCAGGTCAAGTCAGGCCTAAACTAGGTCAGACCACATACCCGTATTAGGCGGTCTGACCTATTTCCATCCCTGTCTACATATTCGTTTTTGTATGAAAAAAAATTAGTCTTTAATTTCAGTACTACGTGTAATCCATGTTCTAGACCTATCGCTTACTATCAAGATTGACTTAATCATAAA